TAGAAACTGAGACAACCGCCAAGGACCTTGTCAATTCCCTTTTGCAGGTCGCGGTGGCTGACCAAGAGATTGACAAACTCATCCTTGCTTTGTCGAAGGTGGAATTCCTAAACACGCGAAGCCAGGAGGGTTCCCAACTTTTCATTTGGGACGTTGAGCAGGCAGGAGAGCATAAAACCGACGCTCGGAGGTCACCCCCTCCGTTTCAGAAAGAACACTTCGAGAAAGTGGTCAAGGGCGTGCTTTTTGCACGAAACAGGCAATCCACTTTGACCTTTGACGACTCGGACGGGCCGCCTCCCCCAGACGCTTCGGATGTGTTGCCTAGCTTATTAGATAAACACAGGATGCGTGCGCCGTCCATGCGTTGCTCATCTTAGGTTCTTGTTCTTTGACGGAGGCCGGTCAGGCCTGCATTCTCATTGGAACAACCTGTTCAAGGGCATCGGCGTGACTAAGATGTGGAATTTAATCCACACTGAGGACTCGACAACTGCGAACAGGAAGGCCAGGAATCTGTCAGGGACGGCGATTGAGCGTGGGGCCAGGGCCTCAGCGTTTTAATGTGATTTCCTGATAATGAGGTCAACGTGATTAACTTGGCAGAAAAGGTCTTGGTGACCACCACGGATGCGCAAAAGCTGCAAGCTATCACGGGAAGCCGGAAGAACCTACATTTCGAGGGGGCCGTGTGTTCAGATGCTGCGCCTTGGATAAACCAAACAGTGCGCGGTTGTTTGGCGCGCTCAGCTTGCGCCCCTTGTTTGCGTGCGAGTTTCTGAGGTCTACGGGGTCCATTGCAGATGCGCGCGTCATCAGCGGCGGTGAATCATTGCCGCAGTACACTACATGCTTTGTTGATACATCTTGCCTTCAGTTTGAAAAGTTGTTCTGCATTGCATTGCTTGCTGATTGTGCATGGCGTACATGTCAGTCATGGCACGATTGTTACACCCCAGATCCCTTGGCTTCATTTGCCCTTGCAATTGTGACATAGCGACTCATTCGGTTGTCATGTTGCCACGCTACTTTGAGTACCACATTGAGCGAGGCGTGGAATGGATTCGGGTTTACACACCGGGCATGTGGCAGCCTGTGGCTGAATCCACCTTGGGCCCAACTCCGGACCGCGCTTCCAGATATCGTGAATGGCGCAGGGTCTACCACTTTGACGTGTACTTGCCCCGTGACAGCACCGGATTCACCACTGCGGACCCGAATGTTACGCCCGTCTCCTACGCGTCCTATTACATATGGCAATTCCGGGATTGGCACACGCGTGGTTATCAACGCCTTGGTGTCCCACGTCCATACATTGGATCGACAGATTTCGTGTCTGATGGAGTTTCGTCCTCGTCGGCGTCTTCAGTTCCGGATGGCGCGTGGCGTGAAACTTCTCCCCCGCCGAGCTATGATCCCAATTTTGATTGGAACGAGTCTGATTGATGCTTGGACAGAATGTTGGTTAAAACATTGCGCTTGTTGAGTCTTCCAGCTTGAGTGCTTTGCCTACGGCCTTTTGATTTATTACTTCCATTCATGTCAATGCTGCTGGAAACACGCGGTGACACTGAGCCTACTGCGCGCCAACATTGTCCGATTCGCTTGCTGCTTGGTCTTGAGTTGCCTTGTCTTGTGTTGTGCTATCTTCATGTCCATGCTTTCGCAGACTCCTTTTTGTCTCATAGAGGCCTATTCGGTTGTTATGTTCAATTCGACAATACTTGGTACTGACAGATGGTCCGTCCCGCGCTACTTTGAGTACGACATCGTGAATGGCCCTGCAAACACAAGAGTTGAATGGATTCGAGTTTATGTACCAGGTCCGTGGCAACCTGTCGCCGACTCCACCTTGGGACCAGCTCCGGATAACACATCAACCTATCGGGAATGGCGCAGGTTCTACCACTTCGAAGTCTATTGGCCTCGTGACAGCACGGGAGGCACCACTCTGGATTCTTTCTCCCAGCCGGTCTCCTACGCATCCGTTTATACATGGCAATATCGTGACTGGCACACCAAAGGATACCAACGACTCGGCAATCCGCACCCGAACATTGCGCGGCCAGCTTTCCCTTCGGGATTGCCTGACCTCATGTACGCTGGATTGTCTTCTTCGTCAACATCCTTGATCTCAGATGGTGGTTGACGACCTTCCTCACCTCCCTATGATCTTGAATTTCATTGGAGCGAGCGGCATCGACACCTGAGTCGCGTCTCGCTACAAACTGCGGTGTTCGGCGCTGCACATGCTGTGAGTACTGGATTGAGTGTCTTGCGTTTGCTTGGCATGCTTGTTGATGCGTTGCATGAAGTGCTTGTAGTCTGCAGCCGTATAACTCTCGGTTGTGCGTCTAGGTTTTGAGTTGTCATGCCGTGGCTGGAGTGGTGCCCGGATCCTCAACAACCAGACGCTCAATGGGTCAAGGTTTTTTCCACCCGGGATCATGGACACCACAAGATGAACGCGATGATCCGCCTCCGCGCCACACATACAGGGAGTGGAAGGAGTTCTGTGCCCCAAACCTGGCTCATGACGAAGACCAGCCCACCAGGCGCACTTGGTACAAGAGGGACTGGACCACTGAGGGCTACCGGCGTGTTGCTGCTCCTGAAGCTGTTCAAGACTTCAACGCGATGTTTCCTCATCAACATAGCGTGGCCACGCAATCTTCGGCTCTGAGTATGACACCGCAGATGTTGACTGTGATTCTCCGATCTTCGGATGCTTCTGAATTCTCTGTTGAGGATCTTACTCGTCTTCAGGCTGGGATCTGTCAGCAACTGTCAGAACGCGCGCGTCACGCGTCCCACCATCCAGCACATGTGTCTCGTGGAGTTGCACCACCCGAATCTATTGGGGTCGCTGACCTAAATACACCTGCGGGCCAATCAGGCAGCTTTACCAACAAGGCGCAGCCCATCTTCGAGCTAGGTGACGTATAAACCGATGCATCTTGATCATAACATGAGAGAGTGTCACCTTTGCTCTTGCTTACTTGTGTGTTTGCCGGTTGTGCATGGTTGTGCGTTGTGACTGTTTCCTCGCCAGCTGGATCAGAGCCTGCGGTACACCCTGTCCTTTACTTCAGCATGGACACAGATGATGTGACTCAAACGTCGGCCAGAACTGACGAGCAGCACCCTTGGCTTGAATACTCCGTCTGGCAGGACCAGGAGCGGGTGCGGATCTACACTCCGGGTCAACTTCAACTGTGGCACCCAGATGAGGCAGTACCCGCCCTACCTGAGAACTCGTTTCGGGAGTGGAAACGGGTAACTGAGCATGTTGACGGAACTGGTGAATCCAGTCAAGCATGGACAATTCGTGACTGGCAACATCAAGGTTATCAACGGATTCTGTCTCGCTTGGAGTCCTTCTCCACCCATCATGACCCTGATCCATCACTTGCTGATGTACAACATCCGGACATCATCCGGGTCGAGGAGATGTTCACCTATGCCCCTCCCATTTCTGACGGTGATCGCCCGACAGCTTTGCAGCTTCCGCCTGTCTTCTATGGTGGCACACGTCTTGCTCATCTTGGAGATCTTTCGCCCCCGTCTTCTGAGCGGCCTCGTGCGGAGCGTGCAGTTTCGCGCTCTCCCCGACGCAGTGGATATTTTGGTAGACGTTAGAATTGATGAGCCAATTGCGTGATCTTCCGGCTGGAACAAAAGATTTTCGCCCCTCACTGAGGGGCGTGTGTGTGCGGAGTGGCAGAAAACCCTGCCACCATACGATAACTTTTTCCCACTGCAATGGGGCTGTCCACTGCATGGAAGTGACGGCCCAACGAAGAGGCTTCCATCAGTGCTGATATGGATTCTGGACGCAGAATCCACGGTGATGAGAAATGTCCTTTTGGTCCCTTTCCTGAACCGCTGTTGCTTCTCCGTCTCCCTGTTGAAGTAGCTAGAGTGAAGCCAAGTGACCTGCCAGCCGAAACTTATCCGACTTGAGACTAGTCAGTTGTACTCGAGACTCATCAGTTGTACTCGAAAGATTAGAACCCTTCTGGAGTCTAAGTGTGTTGGTGTGTGTGTGTGTGTGTGTGTTTTTGTGTGTTGTGTGTGTTTTTGTGTGTGTTTGCTTTTGTGTGTGTGTGTGTGTGTGTGTGTGTGTGTGTGTGTGTGTGTGTGTGTGTGTGTGTGTGTGTGTGTGTGTGTGTGTGTGTGTGTGTGTGTGTGTGTGTGTGTGTGTGTGTGTGTGTGTGTGTGTGTGTGTGTGTGTGTGTGTTTGTGTGTGTGTGTGTGTGTGTGTGTGTGTGTGTGTGTGTGTGTGTGTGTGTGTGTGTGTGTGTGTGTGTGTGTGTGTGTGTGTGTGTGTGTGTGTGTGTGTGTGTGTGTGTGTGTGTGTGTGTTTTTGTGTGTGTGTGTGTGTGTGTGTGTTTTTGTGTGTGTGTGTGTGTTTTTTTTTGTGTGTGTGTGTTTCTTTTTGCGTGTGTGTGTGTGTTTCTTTTTGCGTGTGTGTGTGTGTGTTTCTTTTTGTGTGTGTGTGTGTTTCTTTTTGTGTGTGTGTGTTTGTGTGTGTGTGTGTTTGTGTGTGTGTGTGTGTGTGTGTGTGTGTGTGTGTGTGTGTGTGTGTGTGTGTGTGTGTGTGTGTGTGTTTGTGTGTTTTTGTGTGTTTTTGTGTTTTTTGTGTGTTTTTGTGTGTGTGTGTGTTTTTTTTGGTGTGTGTGTGTGTGTTTTGTGTGTGTGTGTGTGTCTGTGTGTGTGTGCGTGTGGGCAATTCCATGCATTCCTCGATCCCATGAATAATTGCATGGCACGGACCCACCCATCCATCAATCCGTCCACCCGCCCATCCATCCATCCCTCTCTCCCTCTTATCCGCCATCCATCGCGTCCATCCATCCAGCCCGAGCGGCGGACATGCGAGGCCGGCGCGCGGAGCACGAAAATAGATGCACTTTCCATACTCACCACACACACACACACACATCAGACTCTCTCTCTCTCTCGCTCGCGCACACATGCCAGGCGCAAGCCAATTCAGGCCTGTTTCATGCAGCTTTGAATCCAGAAAGACACTGATCTCATCGGCTGATCGAACCTGGCCAAATTCCCCTCTATACATTGAGTTCAAGTCTTGGCTCCCTCTGTTCACACTGCGGGCTTCGAACTCAAGGCAAAGCTTGGCGGCCCCTTTCCGACTATGACTTGATCAAAAGGGCTCACTCCCGTTTTGCCAAATAACACACGTGGCGCTTGTTTGTGTTGCACATGCAACTAGAAAATGCTACATCTGTGTGAGCGTTCCATGCACGCGCAGGCCATTGCGCGCCATTTGCGCGCAGCTGCTGTGTGGGAAGCTTTTGCTTAGGACATGTCACTGGCGCGCGCAAACAGTCAGAAGAAGTGACGGAGGAAGACTCAAGAGCTTTGGAAAAAAGGGGCCAGGGATGCATCGGCAGCATCTCCACAAATCAGACACGGTGGCTTGCCACCCTTTGTTTTTTGTTCTGCGGCAAACAACATGAACAAACGGGGCCAAACGAAAGGCACTGCGGGGGACTTTCAAAGGCTTCCAAACAAATTAAGCAAATCGCTGCCCAGTGGCACCCCGGCTCATCACACACACGCAGCCTCTCCGCTGCTTCTACACCGCATTAAAACAAAATACGAAAAAGCAGATCCGGCCGTCCCCAAGCCCGCGTCACTCCCCCAGCGGGGGATTCTCACCAAACAACTACAAGCGTCTGCCAGGAGCTCGGTTGCATCAAGAGACGAAGAGAAAGTGAGTTATTTCCATATCTCCATTCTTCTAACCCATTAACTCCCATAAACTCAGGAACTCCGCTAACCAGCGAGGAATAGAATAATGAAGGAAATATGAAGGAATGGGTCCCTGGTCTCTCTCCAGTCTGTCGACTCGATCCCAGAGCGAGGGTGGTGAATGGGAAGGACATGAGTCTCACCGCACCCACAAACCCTTTCCTCTCACCGCGGGCTAATCAAACATCTTATGGCCCGCCATCTCTTGTCTCTTCTCTTTCGTCTCTTTCCGTTTCTCCACCACCTCCTCGCTTCCAAAGTCAACCGGTAGAACTTGGAAAAAGAGCGAGGAAGAAGTGGTGACAAAAAGGGAAAAAGAAAGAGAAAGGACAAGAGATGAGAGATGAAGAGATGGGGCGAGGAAGGAAGATATGGCATGTCCTTTCATCACCCATTCTTCTATCTCTATCTCCTCCCTTTCTCACTCTCAAAATCCCACAGCATATTGTCTGTAAAGGAAAAGGAGCAAAGGACTGTTAGCTGTGGGAAAGAGGTAGACCACACACAGCCCGGTCTTGCGGCTAGGCTCCTACTCAAGTCAATAAAAACTCAAGGACCGGATAAGCCCACATGCCTAGCCTTTTGAGTGAGTGTAAGTTGAGTGAGTGAAGGAAAGCATGCGTAAGTTAGTGAGTGTACGTTGAGTGAGCGATAGTAAGTGAGTGTAGGTCGCGTAAGTGAGAGTAAGTATGTGTAAGTCAGCGAGTATAAGTTGAGTGAGTGAAAGAAAGTACATAAAAGTTAGTGAGTTTAAGTTGAGTAAGTGAAAGAAAGCGTGAGTAAAATATTTGTAAGTTAGTGAAGATCAGTGGCGAGAGCAAGTATGTGTGCCACGCAAAGCGACCAACGCATACACAAAGTCAGCCGCCTGCCACGCAAGCCAGCAGTAGAGAAAGCCAATTAGTGTCAACGTGGTGACAGCTTAGTGCAAAAGTAGTGTCGAAGTAGTGTTCAGTAATGAAAGAAACGCTCAACGCGGGCCACATTGGGAAGAGACTTGCGCCACAGAGCGGGCAACCAGAGTAAAATGCAGCCGATGCACAAACCGCTGCCAAAACGTAGCAAAGACACTGCGATTGTGCACAAGATGTAGCGAATGGATTAAGTCGCTGAATCTGTCTTCGCCGCATTCTGATTCGACATGCCATGGCACCCTGTTTCAACATTGCGCGGCGCCAACCTGCCCGCCCCACCCCACTGGAAAATGCGCTTCCCTGGGGCCGGATTTGCTGTTCAAGCAAAACCAAGCAACATAAGTGCGAACACTGTGCAAAGCAGCGCCAAACTGGCGTCAAGTGCGGCGAAGCGCGCTTCCCGAAATAGTGCCCAACTAGACAAATAAGCCGCCGTTTTGTTCGACACGCAAGCGTTGGACTCGTTGAGCAAGCTTTGGCTGTGATTGCTTCTTTCGGTTTTTTGCGGGGGTCCCAGGAGAATCGCACGGGTGACTTTTTGGGGCAGCAAATCAACAGTGGATCTTGTTGAATGCACGCTGACAACGCTCCTCTTCAGACGAGCAAGAGGATTGACCGGAGCTTAAACGAATGAACGCCGAGGACAGGCCCTTCTTGAGGCCAAAGATGCCAATGGAAGAACTCCCTTGAATTCCAGGCAAGGCGCCAAGAAGAGTGCCCACTCACCCACCAAATTTTGCGGAGAGGAAGCAACTAGCCAAGCTGTTTCCATGCGTTGGATTGCGAACACCTGCGGGCACAAACGAAGCCGCATCTTTGCCAGCCAACAAGCGCACAGCGTTTCTGTCCGTCTGCCTGTCAATCATGCTCCAAGCGCATCTGCTAGTCAAAGACCCATGAGGCATACTGTATACTTACTTGCCGATAACAACTTTGCTAAAACCGCGGCAAGATCAAAGTGCTCACTTGAAAAACATACTGCTGACATGTAACACACACACACACACACACACACACACACACACACACACACACACACACACACACACACACACACACACACACACACACACACACACACACACACACACACACACACACACACACACACACACACACACACACACACACACACACACACACACACACACACACACACACACACACACACACACACACACACACACACACACACACACACACACACACACACACACACACACACACACACACACACACACACACACACACACACACACACACACACACACACACACACACACACACACACACGCAGCGCGCGCGCGCGCGCCCAAACATGCAGCAAGCGCAAAATGCACAGACTGATACCTGTCGTCAAGCCACTGGCAGCATCATGCAACTGTGCTGGCCGAACCTGAAACACGCCACTCTCCTCCTTGTCAATGATTGGAAGGGCGTCGGCCAAGCACCTCGAACGAGCACAATATCCATCAAGGCTTGCTATCAAAACACACAGTTGCCTTATCTTGTTCAAGCATGCCTCTTGTCAGACTGTGCGAGGAACTCTCATAAGCTGCGGGCTGGTCCGATCTGAGCTCCGCAAGGATTTGGCTCCACAGCGTGTGTTTTTCCAACATGTCCTGCATGTCGCAGCTTGCATTTTACACACCGTGCCAAAACCATCTCTATCAGTCATTCGCATTCTGACTATGCACGCTGCTTAAACCATGCTGCTGTCGCTCCGTGGCATATACAAATTTGATCAGTAATTGTCCCTGTTTCGCAACCTGGGATCCTGGCTGAATTGCCCACAATGAACATGCCGTGGCGTGCCCGGGTCAAGGCGACATTGATCCTGTTGTCAACCTGAAGTGCATCAGAACCGAGCAGAACACGCAGCAATGGGACAACGCAAGCATGAGCCCTGGACTGCCAGGAAGCCCATTTGGCGCGCCCTGGACAAGGCACGAAGGCCAGTCAACGCCAGCAACTTCACCTAATGCCCAGTGCCTGTTGGAGCGAACCAAGGAAATAATGATGATGTCATTCTCCTCACCCTGCGCTCTGCTCCACTTCCACTCTGAGAGGCGTCACATTCAAACAGCTCCAAGTCCTGAAAGTTGTCCACTGCAGTGATGGCAATCTTTTGGGTGGTCGGGTCGCGCTGCATCCTCTTCTTCAGGAGCCGCACCTCTCCGTAAAACTGGAGGGGGGGGGCGCCAGGAACTAGATCACTCTCGATCAGAACTGAGTGGAATTCAACATGCAGCTGTGCTACCATTGCAACCGAAACTCATTGTGTGGCAAGGTCTTAGGCAGCACCAACTGTGCCAAGGATTCAGTACACCGTCAGTACACCCGTTGCACTCACAAAGGTGCCAGTTCAGAGGACTTGCAATTTGGCACTTATGATGGCCCTTGGCTCTTTGGCGAGGAAGAAGCGTACCATCTGTCAACCACGGCAAAGCAGACGTGACGCACAGACACACAAACACAGGGACACACAGACATACAAACACACACACACAAATTTGTTGACCTGCCTGCCCGAGGTATGGCGTGAGAACAGTGATCTGGCTTTCCTGTCGCAGCTGTGATTCAAATCGCATCTTTGATGTCGGGCAGCTCCTCGTAGCCACAGGAGACCAAGTGAGCACACATCGCGCTTACAAAGTTTGCCTGGGCGATCAGATTCTCCGTGCGGTCTTGGGCTGCAAGCACTTAATAGGTCGTGTGAGTCACAATCAAACTCTAGCATAGTGGAGGGTTTGATTGTGGCTCTTGTGATGCTCACCCTGATGCATCGTCACAGTGATGGCCTCAAACGTGTTCTGCTTCGAGTGGCTTTCCCCCTCATCATCCTGGCAAGGCCACTGAGAGCAAAACTCATAGTGCATGCTGCCACATCAAGAAGTTGGCTACACAATGAGAAAGAGCTCTCAAGATGCTATGCGCAAGCATTGCGTCGATGTTTTTTAAAAACTTCAGAATCTGTTTGCCAGTAGTCCCGATTTACGCTTTGGAGCGGAAGAGAATGAGGGCTTGCGCTCACAATGCAACCAGCAAGACGGCAGTCGAGACACGGGAGCGCGCGCTACTCGCCAAGCTGCAGGCGTTGAGAGGATAGATAGCAAAGACTCGGATTGAGCGGCCGTTGTGAAGCTCCTTCAGCCAGTGAAAGCCGAGACTGATGTCGCCATGTTGCTAGTCATGGGCATGAGCCACTGAAGCTAGCAAAAACTGAAGCATGAGATCTCGAAGAACGTTGATTACCCACGATACGCGCGTATGTCACTGAGTAGAGCAGGGCAAAAAACATGTTTGCACCCCTGTTTCTCACAAGCAGCCGGCGTCGAATGTTGCTTGTGCCAAGCGCATGCTGCTGCCGCGAAATATGCATGGCATTGCGCCACCTTGCAGCCGCCTTGGAATTAGGCGCGGCCAAGCGTGAGACGTGTAACTATCTACTGAGGTCTAGCCGAAGGAGCAAGTAACTGTGGCAAGATGGCCACGCGCACCAAAAGCATGTGATTCTGCACCGTGACAAGAGCCAAGCAGCTTAGCCTCATAATGAAAATGGGTCATGAAGAAGCTTCGTGCATTGACTCCTCGAATGTCCGGGTACCTGGCACCAATTTGACTGCAATTGGCCATTCGTCAAGCTCATGATATGCTAACTTCGCACTATGACAACTTACACTCGAGCTGCCTTCTGCAGCACACTGGCTCACTATCAGTCAAGTCTAGAATCCAGAAACCGATCAAAGTTTGAATCAGTGGCAAAATCAAATCCATGAGCAAGCGTTCGCGCCACTAGCGCAAAGGCAAAGATTGCAAGGCACCTTTCGGTGCTGTGATGGTCCCGCAACTGAGGATAATACCTCGGCCATGAGCTAAATGGCTGTCCCTGGAACCACACCGGCCACCCGGTAACAAAGGCAATGCAATGATTCCATGACATGCAAGAACATACGTTCAACTACGAATGCCAAGGTTGCCATGGTATCAGTTGGGTCGTTGCTTCAATGGTTTGGTTGCTGCCATTGCGCAATCCTAGAAAGCATGCGCCGTTGACTGCTGCGTGAACCGCCTATGGCCTAAGCGGGTGGTGCAAGGAGGCAAATGTCCAACGCCCAGTCATTTAGCCAAATGTCACAAATGGCAGGCCTGCAGCCTGCAGAATCAATCCCCTTGCCCTGGCCTGGGAGAGCCTCTGATTCGCTGTCAGCATGTAGCCGTGTTCGGCGGCAATCTTCACTTGGATGCCCTGTTTGCGACCAGGCTCACTGGGACGTTGGCTCGCCTCCGTGCCAACTTGGGCGCGGACGCCGGGCAGTGCGGTAAAAGCGCTTGACTCTTGGTTGATTAAGCGGGGATGACAGAGGCGTGCCCCTTTCCTGGGGTGGCATGGCGTTGCGAAGGTTCGGCTTGACTTGCGTGGGTTTGGCCCGGTCGGTCGCTTCCAACATGTGGTGCGTGCCGGTTGGCGGGCTTGGTGCTTGGCTCAGCATGTTGCCAGCAACCGTCGAGATGCCGATGAGGTTGAGTTGGACTTGTTCGACCGCATTGCGTTCGAGGACACGAGGCGCTGGGCCCTTTCGTGCCCCGAAGCTAGAACTATCGCTTGCGGGGCTTCTTGGAGCCCGGCCGCCTTGCAAGGGCGGATCGCGGAGAGACCTTCCACGAGGTGCCTCTACTGCGAGCATGAGGGATACTGGGACCACATCGCATGGACCTGTTCGGAGCGGCCGGTGCCCCAGGTTCCCAGGCCGAACGTGCGTCTTGTCGCTCGGTTCGGGTGGAGCCTGCGGGGTGTTGCTGGCCTTGGCAGGGTGCGTGCCTTGCTGACTTTGCTTCAGCGCCAGCTTTGGTCGGTCTTTCACGGGCGCCAGCCCGAAGACGGCCAATAAGGTTGTTGCCTCTTGGTTGGGTGGCGGGGCGGGTGCTGTTTGGTTCTTGTTTGGGGCCCCTCTTTATGGCGGTACGGTGTGGTGGCCTGACGTGAGTGTCTCTCACTGCAGCGCGGGCTGGCTGGTGCAGCTGGCTTCTTCGGGGACGTCGGCTTCGGCGTCCCCACCCTTGAGCGCTGTCCGTTTGGCGGCAGTTCTCCTACAAAGTCCTACTACTACTAGATTCCATCACTTGCTTATGTTTTCTGTCACCATGCAACGGACATGTACTGAAGGGCTCCAAGTGCCAGGTTCATGTCAGCCCTTAAAGCGAAAGCTTGACATGTGGCAAGCAAAATGTCCTGCAGTATCTCCTTTGATTGTAGAGTAACACATGCGCCAAACTATAATCAGGCCTCATGCTGGTATACATGGCAGCGTTCGCTCTGAGCATCCCACGGCTTGATCAACCGAGATATTTTTGGATGCATGCGTCGCTGTTGCAGCAGAGTGACCTGTGCCAAGCTGTCAAAACACAGTGCCAGCAGCAACCAACTTTGATTGACAGGAGCCTAGCGCGCAAACTGGGCTTCGCGCGTGTTCGGCCCCGTTGTGAATAAGCCGTTCGAAGAGGGAAACATCCAGGTGGAACTGCTTGGAAAGACGATACACCTGGTGGCTGACTCGTGATAGACTGTGTGCACCAAGGGCGTCTCTGAGAGGCACGCTGCAGTTGAGGGACGCAGCTGCTGATGGTCTCCAATGAGAATCTGCGCAGTCCACCGAGTACGTCGAATTTGTCAGCCATGTTCTGTATGTCACTTCCACTCGGAAAGCAAACGCTAAAGGTCTTGGGCTGGATGTATCTCTGAGAAGCGGAGGCTGATAATGCAGTGCTTTGTTGCAAACCCGTGCAGGTTCCGGCACACATCCTGCGTTGACTTCAACCAGCTGGCTAAAGCGCATGTTCGCCTCCTTTGGGATCTTCCCAAACCCTGTCCCCAACCTTTCCCATGACCGTGTCTTAGAAGCGGAAAGTCAAATTTCCTGGAACCAGGTCAAGTTCCCTGGTAAAATCCCCCTAGAAGCTGGTCGCAGCCGATCAAGTCCAGCAAAAACCAGCTCCTCTTTAAAACCGGCCGAACTCCCCTAGAACTGGTCAAATTTCCCCAGTAGACGCTTGTCCAACTCACTAGAAACCGGTCAAGTTTCTCCTAGAAACCTGTCAAATCCACAATAGAAACCTATCAAATCCACCCTAGAAACCGGTCAAATCTACCCCAGAAACCGGTCTAGAAATCGGTCAAACTCCCTTAGAAATCAAACCAACACACAGTACCTCAAAGCCAGCCAAAAGCACTCTGGCCGAGGCGGGCAACGCGGAGCGTTTACAATTAGAACACATTTTTCAAGTGCACGCGCGCAAACTTACATACACACGGCCAAGGCAGTCAAGGGCAGTGCCTGAGTCTCTGGCAACATGTTGTGTGCGAGGGTGCAGCGCTGTCAGAATGTGTGCCTTGCTGCCACGCTCATTCGACACATTCACGCTGGATACTGCAAAGGACGAAGGATTTTGGCTGCTTTCGCGCTAGTGCGACCGCTGACTGACGGCAGCGGCAGAATTCTTCCCGCGCGTCAGCACAAGAGGGTGCAAATTCCCTCTGGCTGAAAAGAGGCATGCCGGACGTGCGAGACTTGCACATTTACCCAAGAGCTTCCAGCTGCTAGTGAAAGTGCAAGTCCCCCCGGTTATAACTCCAAATTGGATTGCAACATGGCTTTGCCACACGCTGTACACAGGACAAAAGTGCTCGATACGAATACAAACGTAACATGATGCGGTTGCAACTCGAAAACGGACTTGAGAATCAGTTAGCCCACTTAGTTAGGTGGGGAAAGCAGTTGATGGGGCAGATTTAGACAACCTTTTGCAACCTGCACACATGCTTGGCATGCAAGGAGAGGCACCAGCGAATTCAGGCACAGCAAGACACTCATGTTTATCTCGCACATTCTCAATTCTGAATGCCTGCGTGCAAAGTTGCAATGGTTTCGCGGGAGGCATTCAAGCACGTTGGCATGCCTGGGTATAGCAAGTCGTAGTGTCCTGGCTTGAAGAGAATGTGGACGTCCACCTGACTGCCATTGTGCCAAACGACAACAACAGTTGACTTGCTGACTCAGGCCTCATTTTGTGGTCCTGGGGTGTCAAGACTGACAAGACTCACCTCGCGCTGCAAAGAGAAACATGTGGCTTTTCTAAACTTATGCAACAAGTATGCTCAGCTGTTTGTCGTTTGCAAATATCAGTTGTGCAGCGGCACGACTTGAAACACTCCGGTTGATATGTGTTTTTTTTTCGAACCGATGACACCTCGTTTCAGCTGTCAATACGCACCACATCCCACTCAACTCAGCGGGCTCGCCTCATCTCTTCTGTCCAGGATCCACATTCTCAAGCCAATGCCCAGCTGCTGAGGAAGGGCGTCCAGCGCCAACGTTTCTGCCTCACACAAGCACTTCTAAACATCTAAAGTCATGCAATCACTTGAAAGCAGTGCTAAGCAGTCTGCATCCCGACCAAGCGGGTCTACAACATGTCGACAAAAGTCCTCAAAAACTCAGTTGACTTGATCTCCAGAAAATCTGGCAATGGGAGCAGCTGCTTGCCTCCATGCCTGCGTATTGGCTGTCCAAGGCTTTCACTAGCTGGTTGTACCTGGCTTCAAGTCTTCCTGCAACGTTGGGGACTTCTCAAGTCTCATGAGAGCCAAATTGCGACCTTCTAAACATTTCTACATAACTCTCACTTATGGTTTCCAAACATGATGCACATGCTACACTTGGGTCGCATGGGTGGATTTCATTGTTGCATGCTCATGCGTCATCTGTTAAAAGGTTCAGTTGCGCGCACGCAGCTTGAGCGGCAAGTGGCCAGTTTACTTGTTGCAATATTCGCAGAGAAACCAAGGTAGTCTGCTCTGCTTCAACATGGATTTGTATCGGTGGGCGTAGCTTGGATGTTGCTGTCAGCTGGCCAACGTTGCGAAATGGCACCGGCAAAACGCTCTGATTGAAGTCAATGGCCCTTAATTGTCCTCACTGCCCCTACTAGGCACTAATATATCATACTTGATTGGCTCGTGTGGTTCTGAATCAGCATGAGATGATGCTGATAACGACGGTGTGAGACGTTTGACGGTCATCATTGTTGACTGGAATTAATCCAGCAAGCCTGTCCACTGTGCTCAGAGGCCACTCCGGCCACGTACACAGTTGCACCCGAGCCAGTCCGTCTGCCACTGAAATCTAGCCTCTGCTTGCAAGTGCTGTGCCTGCCACTACAACAGCTCACCGCCCAAACCCGTTCGCTTCGAGTGGGTCGGTCAAAAGTTCAGCGACCGAGCGACTGCGCGAAGGAGAAGGGTGGAGCGGACGACGTTCGGCAAGCGAAGCCCACATGACCGTGTGGCCGAATCAGGGTGCTAGGAGCACAGTTGACGTTGTCATAGACCAGTTGAGTGCCCCTTGAGCTGATATGCACTGCCAACAAGCCATTTCAACTGCGCTGGCGCCTTTCCACAAGCAGGGCCGCATTCTTCAGAAGCTACTCTCCTGACTTGTCTGCAACTGGTTCATGATGTTCTTGTCAAGTGATTACACCACAACCCGTGGAGTGCTGCAAGTGCTAGCCCAGGAAAGCTCGCATATTGTCGCAAGCAACAAGCAGAGCATTGTTATCTCAGTGGATAGGGCACGTCAATCCGCTTGGAGACTTTTCATCTGCCCGCCTGAGACGTCAGCTGTCAGTTTTTGCCCATGGGACTCGGGCCAACTGGCTGAGGAGCCAACTTCATCAGAAACTGTCGCACGAGCCGTCGGCAAGCACGAATCAATGCCTCACGAAACGCAAGTTGCCCTTCTGCCCAACAAGTTATGTAGGCCACTTACCTGATCCAAGGTTGCATCCTGCGCAACCCATTGTTCGATTTGATCAGGGCATCTCCAAGACCTATCAGCAAGGCACATGGGACGGACTCTAAAAAACAATCAGAGCGCCTCATGATTTGGAGCATCTGATTGTGGCATTTCTGCTCGGCGACACAGTCGTAGTGCACCTCGCCAGATCATTGCAAAGGGCCAGCCGGCAAGCGGGCAAGCGGGCAAGCGGGCAAGCGGGCAATCGAAACCCTGGGCCTGCCGCAAGGCGATCATCACTTGATTCAAGCGCTGATGGTCCTGGCTAGCCATCAGGGCCTGAGGCGGGATGTGGTAGGCTTGAGCTTCTGCGGGGCAACTCTGTATGCTGCAAATATCTGGCCTCGAGTGCTCCGAAAATGACAGTGCCTTAGCTATTCGTGAGACATAGGTCTAGTGAGTCCGCGCTGCTTGCCAAGCAAACACACTCTTCTTGGCAGTAAACACTGTCAAAGCGCGATAGTAACAATTGCCATCCCCTCGAACAGATCGCCAGTCACTGTACACCTCATGCAGGCAACACGACTCACCCAGGCCAACTGACAGTTACAAGTTGCCAACAAACTGCGACATGCGAAGGAACTAGTTGTTTGCCACCCACCCACCCAGCACCGGCCTTTGCATCTTTGAGGGAATGGCACTGGGTAGGCGCGAAATGCAACTTGGAAACCCAGCAAGCTCAGACTCTCAAGAAAAGGGGCGGGTAGCCGTGTAGCATTCAGAACCTGCATGCCTTACTTTGTCCATGCCATTGAGAGCATCTGCTCAGCTTGGGCTCGCCTGCCTGCGCCAGCCGCCGGATCTTCTCCAGCTTTCCAGGATTGAAGCGGCATTCTTCCTGGCACTTGTTCAATCCTGTCCTGTTGGAAATTAGCCAATTAGCCTCTTGGCTCATTAGCCTATCAGCATGGCAATGACCACTTCGCTGTCATGGATCATCACAAAGCAGACTGTCAAGACACCCCGCTCAACCTCCAGAGTGTGGATGTTGCATCGATGCCCAACGTTGGGTTGGTCAGTGCCTGCGCAAGTCACGAGTAGCTTTATCGTTTCAAAATACCAGCTTTGCATTGACACCTTGATTAATTTTGGATAAATTGTTGTCCACATTATCTAAGCATAGGGCTCAGGCTTCTCAAACTTGATGGCTCCAAATCACAGCTGACAATTGCCACGTGATGTTTTGATGACTCACTCTAGGCCCGAACATGATAGACCAAGTTGCCAACTTGAGACCAGGAACCCACAAAAGTTCCAGGATTATCCGAAGGCTGCCACATGCGCAACTTGTTCGTGAATGCTATTCGTGCTCCAACGCTTCAAGGGCACATGACATGCTGAAAATGTGGCAGCTTTACACGTCAAGCTTGAGACTCTCAAACATGCGCTGGCTGGCGCAGCCTCGAGGTTGTCGTGGCAGAGAGCGCAACACCTGCCATCTCCAGAACTGCTCAAGTCGCAAAAAAATAGCTCTAGCGCTATCGCTCACATCCTGCAATCACCCCACTGCAATCCATTTTTGTAGCTGCATCAATAGCGGGCTCATTGGCAAGGACTGCCATTTTTGCCCGAGCTTGCTTTCCACTTAACGGGCTCACAAAAGCATGTCGAAGGCAACGGCAAGGTTGAGGGGACCTCAGAGTATCTGCATTTGCGTCGAGCACAAGGCTTCAACATTGGGCAGCTGGTTGGATATTCGGGTGTCAGAAACGGTGCCCCCTACAAATGGGTGCTCACGCTGGTGGCCTCTGAACAGGATTCACAAGCGAGGATCACTAATTTTGACGAAGCCCGTGCGTGGCAAGTAAGCTTCCGACCGATTCTGTTTAACAGATTGTTCTTCAATCGAGGATCTGGACTCGGCAGCAAGAGCAGCTCCACGATGGAACGGCCCTGGCTGAGGATGGGAATCTTTGGGACTCTGGGGCTGTGTGCCTGCCTGGCTGTACTGGCCGCGAAAGCCGACAGGAGACCTGTCCAAAAACCACCTTGGTGTCGGCAGAGTGGGGCATGCTAGTTGTTTGCCTAAATGCAGATGATTCAACAGAAAGTGTTTTTTGGCCGAAGTGTTGCTTTGGTTATTCATTGCAAGCATGCCCATCCTTGCGACACGTTTGAACGAGCATGCAAGTTGAGCAGGCTGTTCCCTTGTGTGAAAGCGCGCATGGCCCGGCATTGTGCTTGTTGTGTTCTAAGCAAGACATGGCCTAAGGCTACAACAATGAAACAGCCACGGCCTGAAGTTGAAAGGCAGTAAAACAAATCCTAACTTCTGATGATGCTAGAGCTCGATGTGGCTGTTTCCAGAAACTGCAGCAGTGCGAACAAGTGTCGATCAAAAGCGAGGTACGGGAAAGAGCAGGAGCAGCAGGCTGAGCCAGGGCCCCTTTTGTAGTCTTACCAAAGCTTTGTTTGCAACGCTCACCCGGCTTGACTTTCCCGAAAACATCTGTCTAGCATCCTGGCTAGCCCGACAGCTGAGGATTGTTCAGCAGAATGGAGACCTGAATACATTGACCTGTCCTACGCAGTGCGACT